AGCTGGTTTGAACAATGCCCTGAAGTCATCACCTTTTCGCTGGATGATCTCCTTCAGCTTTGAGTGGATCGTTTATCTGCTGAAACTTGAAACAACAGAAATATAACTTTATGACTCCTGCCATGAACAGTGGAGGAGCTGGATAAAAGCAGAGTCATCAACCTTGAATGAAAAAAAGCACTTTTCCTTTCGTGGCCACAGGAATCCAAAGAGCAGGGAGGAAGTAGCTCAGCACATATTCCCAATCAGTGGAAATAAAAAGTGCTGGGTTGTTTACACACAGGCATAGCAGACATTTCACTTGGATGACCTCACAGTGAGCTCCAGCCTCAGTCTGGGCTTTGCTTGTACAAAAAGAAAAGATGCAAAAGAGAGAAAAAGATGTCTGCAGAGTTGTTGAGGGAGGAAAGCAGAAATAAACACAAGAGCTGAGCAGAATAACCACATCAGCTCAATAAATACACTAACTTTTGGTGCACACATAAGTCACAGTTCATGCTAATGTTCAGTGCTTGTCCAGCTGCAGGCCACTGACTCAAAGCGAGAGTCCCATCCTGCTTTGTTTAGGGCGCGGCCAATGTAGCACAGCATCTGAAAGACTGAATGTGGGCCGGGCCGCCCTGTAAGCTAAGGCTAAGCTGGTGTTGTAATACAGTCAAAGGGAGTGGGCTCCACTCCTGTTCCTGCTGAACTGAGCCAGTTTTCAGGTAAAACACTGATACCAGTTCAGTAGGCACAGGAGGGCGCAGCCCAGGAATCTTTTCACTCAACTCTATTATTTAGTCTAAATCCTGCAGTGATGTCATGCCAAACATGCAAAATCACTTCGGTCGTGAAGTCTAAACCTCACTGTCATCAGCACACTGATCTGTTTTAACAAGAACAAAAATAGACACAATGTTGTTTACAGCTAAAAGCTTCCAGCCTGGGTTAAAATGTGGACTCCAGTTGAGACTTTGGCTTTAAAAAAAAAAGATTTCCAGGCACCTGTTTTGAAGCAAGAACTCAAAGACAAAGCTGAAAACAGAAAAACACAAGTTGACCACCACTGTACAAAGAAATGACTACTGTCTTTTACGTGGGCACCACACAAAGAACCTCCGATTTTACATAATGTTCATTATGATTTTTTAAAAACACAATGACATGATGAAACAAAAGGTCTGCAAGTGTGGTGTCAGGAATAAGTTTAGCTTTTCATATTAAAAATAAACCTGCATTAAAACAGAGGGAATTAAAGGAATACACATCGCTCGTCACCTTTCATGCCAGAGTTGTAAAATAAGTTTGTCTTCTGATGAGAAAGGACAGAGTTATATGTGTTTTGGTTGAACATCGTTATAGTCTCATGTGATATATGCTAGCTCAGAGTATGTGTTGTGAATTACTCTCAGCTACAGTCACATCAAACTGTGGCTCAATATCTGTAAAATTTGCATAATTAGAGACATTTTGGTGTTTGGCTGTGGCGGGCCATTTTGACTGTGAATTATTGATTTGTAGATGTATATTCAATAATGATTTTATGGGATTTAAAAAAAAAAAATTCTCTTGTGGCTCATCAGAAACAGACATGCACACAAACAGACACAGGCAAAAACATGATCGCCCTTTTGCCCCAGGTGATGAGCAACAATAATGGTTAACTATTAATTAATCCAACCTTTATTTATACAGGTTAGCCTCAATGAGCCACGAAGACTCATTTACAAGAGAGACCTGTTCCAGACAGAACATATACTATACTAACACTGTTTGTGTTTAGTTGTATTTTTTAACTTAAATGAGGAATAAAATATGCATTTATTTGTTATGATTTTAACTTTTTTTCTAGCGTACACTAAGCTGGGGAAATAAAAAGTTTTATTCACAGCCATCAAAATAAGTTATATTATGTAAAAATGCATGTTTCAAATAATACAGTACAAATAATCAAAACTGCATGGTAGAAAGCAGAACAACTAAGTACAATTTGATTTCAAAATACCTTTAGTAAATATACACAAAGTTTGACTGTTTGACACTAGTTGATTTTTTTTTTAACAAAGTTTTGTGCTTCTTTTAAATACTTGTTTTTATCAGTTTACAGTAAACTAAATTTCCAGCTTGTTTGTTGAAGCTGTAAGGATCTTTTTAGTATTTCAAGTTTAGTTTTAGAATTACTCACTTCCTGGTTATTATGATATCTTTCTGTGTTTTGGGATCTTCATGTTTTAGTTCTGTTACGACTGGTTTACCTGTCATCAGTTCAGTTCTCCTCATCATTTTCCTGCTCATGCCCCGCCCACTCTCACCTGTTGTCCCTCGGCAGGTGTTTGCCATTTCCCCCTCATTAGTGTTCCTTTATGTTCTGTGCCTTTAGAGTTGCACTCGGGCCTAAAAAAATCGGACCCGACCCAGCCCAAGCCCGTATCCATTTTTTCCAAGCCCAACCCGACAGTTAACTGTAATTACAGACCCGAACCCATAAAAACAACCCCAACACTTTTTATAAATTAAGCTTTTACTGCTTTTGTAAGCAAATCAATTTGACATAGTTTTAAAATCGTATTTCAAAGAAAGGAAGATATAAGAGTTCTTGTTTATTAACAAGTCACCAAATGGATATTAACAAAACGAATAGCTTAAAGAAATCAACTCTATTATACAGATGAACAAAAATATTTTTAGAGCAAAATTATTTGGAAAAATATTTTTAATTTTTATATAGGTTAATTTAATTGAACGCGCTGCTCGCTTCGGCTTTTCTGCAGATGCTGCAACTTCCTTCACCACAGATGACAGCGGAGTGCGGAGAAGCGTGCGGCCGGTGATCAGGTTGTCCATCTGAAGCTTAACGGGACTTAAAAAAAAAAAAAATATTTCAACAGACCGGTCAGCGGACGCACGCGGCCGGTGATCATGTTGTCCATCTAAGCTTAATGGGACTTTTTTTTTTTTTTTTTACCTCTTTTAACCGGTCGGTAACCTGGCTCGTCCTCAACAAGTAGATTAACACAGTTTTATGTTGTGTATTCTTATTTAGTTTCTTTGTGCTGTATGATTTGTAAAACTGTATCAAAAGCCCGAAACTGACCCGGCCCGCCCATCCTTCACATTATTTTTGCTCGACCCGGCCCAAATTTCTGGTCGGGCCGGGCCCGGTTCTTAGGTTAGAAATGGCAGCTCTACTTTCTGTTAGTTCCTTAGTTCTGCATTATGCTGTTCTCCAAGCCAGACTTGTTTCACTCCTTGCCTTCCTTCATGTGTTTTCCATCTAGAGATTTTGAAATGTAAGTACTTTGTTCCCTCGTCAGCCTTTAGTTATGTTAATAAATTAGTTATATTTTTACGTTTGAGCCTGTGAGTCCTGTCTGCACCATCACCAAATTGGAAATCATAGATTTCCAGACCTCCAAGTCATTCTCATAGCCAGTTTAGCAACAAGTAAAAGTTCATACCCTTTTTAAATTCACTTGTATGCAGTTTTAGAGTTTAATACAAGGTCTAACATACTGCCAGTATATTGTTTAGGATGGCAATTCCCCTGCGCTTCTTAGTCAAAGTAAATATGAATACAAATTTATAACAAGCTAACTAGCCTTAGCTTTAGCTGTCAGCTTTGTGCTAACTACTTTCTGTCCAACAACTGTCTCCACTGGGTCCACAAAGTGAAAACAATAAATACAGCAAAAGTCAAAATGCTACTCAAAGCTTCAAAAGTGTCGTTTGCAAATAAAGTGAACTCTCTCTGTCAGCAGTAAAACACTTATTTAGGGTAGCTGTACTTTATCTAAAAAAGATTTTGGTGTGAAATGAACCTGTTTAACCTTTATTCAGAGTTAATGATTAAAAAAAGTGCAAACTTTTGCCAGTCGTATGGCATTAAAACGATAGAGCAGTCCTGGTTTATCTTACAAAAGCAAACAGGTCAAATATTTAGTATTACATTCCCTAAATTGCAGTGGAACCTGTGGTGTTTTTAAATCGACACCGTGTCACAAGAACAAGCTGAAAAGTTATGAAGTATATCTGGCATGCATGAGTCTAGCCAGTGAAATAAGATAAGGTAGTTTTTGCTTCATAGTCGAGGAGTTCAGCTTGTCTGATGTCTGGATTGTATAATGAAAACCTACATTTTGATATCCACAAAGTAGAAAAAATAACCCCACAGAGAGGCCCCGATTGTTCCCTTCATACTTCATTCCTTCCCTCAATCTCCTATCACTTGTTTCCTCTCCTCCTTTTGCCAGCATTTCCAAGATCATCAAGTTCTGTCCGTTCACCGGAACAAATCCCCGGCGTCGAATCAACTATTTCACCTCAGGCACTGAACTTAGCCACTGTGAACAACACATAGCAGGGATCAATGCTCACCAATTAGCTAAGCTCTGTGCCTTTAGCAAGTGGGTGTCTGGCTTTCTGAGGATTCAGAGATTTATGGAGACCTTTAGGTAAGTGCTCAGTGGTGAAGTCGATGGTTTTTTTTAAGAGTCTGCTGTTTTTCTGAGGACCCTGCAAAGGATCAGAACCCTCATCTCATATATCTTAATAATTTCCTTGTTTTTTAAGGGTAACATCCAGGACCTGAAACCTAAACTCTGCTACTTCTTGGTGCATTAGAGGGGAGAGGATAATTTAAATCTCAAACAGCTGCACATTGACTGAAGCCTCATTTTTAAAGGGAAAAACCTTGGAAACGTTTTCTAATTAATTTTCATGGATAGATCTTGTCAAGTCTGCGAAGATGGTGAATATTTCTGTGCATTTTTTTCAGTTTTTATGGTTTTACCTTCATAGCAACATCCAGAGTTAGAAATTGTGTGGAAAAATTGTGCATCCAAACACTCATCCCTTGCAGTGGACGTATGAGGATGGGACAGGGTCACCTGCTGGGCTGTGAAGGAGTGGAAATCCCTGGCAATGTGATTTTTGTTTCTTTTTGTGCATCAAATCACGGTGCCAGGAACCCTCCCCACCACAGCCAGACAAGAGGCTGGATCTGCACCTCTCTACCCATTTTTCTTTCTTTCTTTCTTTCTTTCTTTCTTTTTTTTTTTTTAGTGCTACATCCTTTTTGGTCTCCAGATGCTCTTACGAAGATCTTCTTCCGCAGCAGATGTGGAGCACCTGTGACCTGAAACAAAGAGCAAAAAGGAGATTTTGGCATCATTATTTCTCTCGTAACTCGATGATAATCTATGATGCGCTTCAGGCCGCTGCTGCTGCCCTGAAATGAAAGGTGACGCTACTTCATAATTACAAAAAAATAAAATAAAAAACATTTGAGAGACATGAGGAATGGCTCTGCAGACCTTTTGTTGCACTCCTCAGCAGGAAGCAGCAGATGTGAAGTCGAAACACGCAGAGGTGAATTATATGGTCATTTGGTTTTAGAGAAGGCCGAGGGCAAAAAGAAAACACTTCTTGTTTGAAATTATGTCACCATGTCATCATGGTGCAAACTCTCAGCGCCTCCTGAACGTCGGTGCACCCACAACGTCAGCCAAGGAGAACAGGCGCCAAAAGGAGATTTGTGTTCATTTTAGGAAATATTAGTGCACAAGAAATGGACTTGGTTCTGTTTAGTCTCAGATTAATTGAGGGTATTTCAGCCAAAAAAAAAAAACCCTGTTGTGTTTAATGTTGATGGCTTGAAATTGCTGAGTGGGTTCACAGAGGGACATGAAGAGAAATAAAAAAAAACTCTTTTTTAAACATCCTTCATGCAAAGTTACAATGCCAGTGTGTTATTATCTGTTGTTGTTTAGCAGGGAAAATTCCTGGCCCACCCGGATGTGGAAGGAATAATGACAGGATTGTTTAATGATGTGGAGGAGGAGGTTAGAACTGAGTCACAACTGGCTTTCCTTCATTGGAGCGTCATGACCAGATGTCAGAAGAAGTCCAAATTATTCTTTTATCATGAAAATTACCATTACATTTGGATATTTGTTTATCAGCGCAACCTGATTTTAACACTACTCGTCTGTTCATCCATTAAGTTTCACTGTAAAGCCAGGATTAAGTCTGCTTGACCAAAAATATTAACATTTTCATTCATTCAATCTTTATTTATACCGACTAGTCTCATTGAACCATGAGGACTCATTTATTTACAAGAGGGACCTGTTCCAGACAGAACATACAAAGTACAGACAACAATAACAATAAATAATAACAATAAACTACAGTAAAAATGCAGTTAAAAATGCTCACTAATATCTCAAAAGTAGCAAAACGCTACATGTTGCAAAACATTCAACAGCTAAAAGTAGCAAAAAGTTTATAAAAAGTAGCAAAATTATATTTATAAGCCAAAAGTAGCATAATGTTAGATAAAAGCAACAAAACATAAGCTAAATCCTAAAGTGCCTAAATACTAACTAAAAACTAAAAGTAGCAAAACACTAACTAAAAGCTAAAAGCAGCAAAAAGTAGATAAATATAGTGAAGGGATGACCAGAAGTAATGCTTTAGAAAGCATCAAAACTATAGCTAGAAGGCAAAACTAGCAAAAGACACATTAAAAGTTGCAAAGGGATAGCTAAAGGTAGGCTAAGGCTAACTAGAAGTATAAGCAAAAATAGTAAAATTCTAGCTAAAAGCTTAAAGTAACAATTAGCTAAAAATATTAAAGTTGTAAAAAGCAAGCTAAAAGTAACAAAAGTGGACTGAAATAGAACAAGTTTGCTGAAGTAAATCTGAAAGAGAACATTTTTCAATGAAGCAATCTTTGTGTATTTCCATGAAGTAAATACTTGTAACTAAAGTTAAAAAAATGTGCTAAGTATCGTAGCACCCATCCCCTGAACGAGCTGAACCTTCTGATATACGCAGCAAAATAAGTGCAAAGTCTGCAGAAGCAGCTAGCTTGCAATTATCGTACGGAAAACTTGAAAACAAAAACAAGACTCACATAAAGAATATATGAACAATTATAATCAGGTGAAAACAAAATGGATTAGGATCATCACAGAGGAACATGAAAGAAAAATATAAAAACAATCGAGATTAACGAACATAAAATTAAAGCAGGGAATAGCGTTGTGCACACAGGTCTGCAGCACATGTACAACTTTCTGAACGCATGCAGAATGCTTCCAGACAGTAAAATATGTCTGTCCTGTCATGCAGAGTTAACAGTCGGCACTCCCTGCACAGGAATCATGAATAAATGTTTGTTTCGACTGTGAGAACTGGAACGTGAAGCTGTGCATCAGTGAACAGTAAAGCAGAGAGAGACGGATTGACTGCGTGCGCTTTGTTCATTCGCATGCATGAGTAGGAGCGTGTTGTTTGGGAAAGAAAGGCAGAAAATGCTTGAAGGGAGTGGTGGTGCCCTCAAACACTTCGGTGAGTCAGTGTTTGTTTGCAGGGTGTGAGACTCTATATGGAGCATGAATGATGGGTGACACTCCTGCCAGTTCGGATGGAGTGGAAACTTGTTGCATTTCTTTGTGAAGTGGGGAAAATTACAGGGTGGCACGTGGAGAATGGATGTGGCCAAGAACGGAATGCAAGATAATTTTTTATAGTAGGGAAACAAAGTTTAAATAAAATGTGGTTTCCTTTTTTAATTGCAATATAATCTTGAATTTTGTTTAGACAAAAGATTTACCAAATTTGAAACCACTGGCACGTTAATGAAATATTTAAGATCTTTTGAAGTGGGGCTTTGTGAAGACATTATGAACAATTAATACATTACCTGTTTTAGATAGCTCTTTGAACACTGTATTTTGGATACATGGAGTTTAATTGTGAGAACTACATGGCTTTTCCAGCAGACATACAATATATGTCCTTCTAAAAGTCATTAGCTCATCACTAGTCAGAATTAAACTCAATTTCTTCAACCTGAGGTTGTTCAAAGAGCTATCTACAGCAGGTAAGACATTAATAGTTCATAACTTTTATACAGAGCCCCACTTCAAAAGATCATTTTACGAGAATAAAGTTAAAAAAGAAGATATATTATGTCTATTTTAGACTATTTGTGTATTTTTCAAACTGATTTAAGACTAATATCTACTGGTGCACAAAATTCGACACAATTTCCAAACGTTGCGTGGGATCAACTTTTGCAGTTGCTCATAAAAGCCAGAAATAATTTCTCCTGATTGTGTGAATCCAGATAAACAAGATTTACAGCACCATGGATAAAATAAATAAATAAATAAAAAACAATTATATGACTGTTGAAGATGTGATTGCCACATTTGGAAAGCTCAACGTTCGCACTCTGAGCCGAACAAACTGACCTCAGTCATGCAGGTCTGCTCGTTGGGCAAAAGACTGGAGGAGAGCCAGAGAGTAAACAATATGAGCCCAGGTGGCCGTTACAGTTATTAGAGTCCAAACATCTGCAAATGTTGGACTTTTTATGCTCCTCAGATTTACTTTTCATCATAGAATGAGAAAAGCCACCAACCATTTGCTGAAATGTGTTTTATTTTTTTTCAGCTCTGCTCTGAGCAGTAGGCAGTGTTTACATGGACAGCGTTGTGATGTACGTGGTGTGAACACATAAATCTAGCTGTCCAGCTCCTGTCAGCCTGCATTTCTCACACTGGTGCCACTGTGATTTGACACCTTGTCTGAACAAAACACGAGCAAAGTGTTAAGAAAGAAGAAATAAAAGAGACTGGGACGATTGCTAGAATGTGTGAGGAAGGGACGGGACTTTATATTTAGGCAAGGGGTGTCCAAAGTGTGGCCTGAGGGCCATTTGTGGCCCTTTAACTGCAATTAAAGAATGGTATAATTTTGACCCACAGAGGTCGATGCATATGTAGACCTTCTTTAGATTTAATGGTGATACTTTTTAACATTTTTAGGTTTAACAGCAAAACAGATTATAATAATCTTCTCAAAATGAAAGATAGTAAGTACATTACAAATATTCAGCTGTAATTAATCCCTTAATTCTCAACAAACCTTCACTGACCTATCAAAAAGTGGAATTTCTGATAATAATTTATAAAACTTGGCTAAATATAACGAGTGTTTTCAAAGAAAATAATTAAATTTAATTAAATAATCGATGGAAATTGGGCATTTTAAAATAATATAAAGTGGTATCATCGACATACAAGTTGATCAACTTTATCAGTGTCCCTTCGAACCTTCCATGAATCTGTTTTAGTGACTGCCAGCTGGACGGTTTTTCAGAACTTCGATGACCCCTTTGGGCCATCCATGGTCCAAATAAATGAGATTACTTAAATAAATAAATACATAAATAAATAAAAGGTTAATGTTTGTGAGGCTCCTAATGTTCTGGATCTACAATAATTTAAACTAAACTTTTAGCCTTTCTGCAAAATATTGTTCAAGTTGTTGAAAGTTTAAAATAAAATCATGCTTTTTAATTTTTTTTTTTGTCTTAAATTAAAATTGTCTGGCCCATGAGTCCTTCATAGACAGTTCTGGCCATCTGTGAAAATGTTTGGACACCCCTGATTTAGCTAACTGCATTAGAAAAGTCCAGTTATGGATTCAAGACTTAATGCCACAATAATGTTCTGATTTGATTTACAAAGCAAGTTAAAAAAAAAAAGCAACCCCCCCCCCCCCCCCAAATAAAAAAATTAAAAATCAAATATCTGCACTTTAGGTTTCTTTAAGTGATGGTTTGGTGGCTGGATACAATCTCAGCACCATAATAAAGCCTTTTATAAAAAACAAATTGTGTTTCTGGATGCAGGAGTAAAGGTTTGCAAGTTTTTGAAAATCAAATTTTTATTACATTTGTAAACTATGGAGAAGAGGTTACTTCAAGTATAAAAAATACAGGCACGTCTAATACATCATAGAGGCTTTTTAGTCTATTTTAAACCAAAACTATTTTAATTTATTAACGGTAACACAGACAAAACAGCCAAAACACATTTAAAGTGCAATAAGTAAAGTTTAGGATCCAACTCATATTTCCCAGACAATATTCCCTACACAACTAAATTTATACTTTGGTGTCAAATTTACACAAAACTAAATGTGTGATTTTTTTTATGTGTACTTTTTACCAAAATTCTCTGAGGGGGTGGGGGGGGTGTCAACATACATGTTTTACTTAAAAGTAAGTTCACTGAGTGACTGACGAGGTGTGACAAGTTTAATAGTTTTTGTTGTTGTAAAAATTACCTGATGTCAGTTGTGCAACTTCAGAAAAAAAAAAAGTATTTATTTTAATAAAAACTTGTCTTTACTATAAAAAATGAGCTAAGCAACATTGAGACTTTTTAGCACTATGGCTGAAAAAATCAGTTAAAGGTTTAGGGAACTTTAAGTGTTTTGGAAGGCTGTTATTTTTCCACTCTATTTATTTATTTTTAATTCACAGACACTTTTCTGTCTTCCACAGTGATCACTGCAGCAGCAACACATTTCCAAGCTTCGCTTCATTTGTCAAACCAGAACTTAATCCACAAAAAGTTTGATTCCATCAGAATGATTTTGTCTTTCAAGAATTTCAACAAACCTGCACAGATAAAAAAAATAAAATAAAAAAAATCTGTATAATTCTGACATGTACGTCCATCACTGTAAAAGCTTGGAAACAAAGAAAAACCTTGAGGAGTTTATAAAATTACATCACTTTAAGCAACATCATAAATGCCTTTTAGGAAAAACGTGATTATCCTTGTGTTTTAATAATCACACTATGCCCTTCTTAAAAAAATAATAAAATTCATGCTCAGTCCAGATTAAAGCTCGATTGACTTCACATTTCTCACTTGCAGAACACAAAGTGACTAACACAAAGCCCTCGTCTGAACCCATCACACCTTTGTAGGTAACGAAAGGACCCACGAGCATTAAAAAGTTATTAGCCACGTTGGCTGGGCCTGGGCTTCATTATTTAGCTCATTAAATCACTCAGTCTCGATAAAACATCCCTCCCCTGTGACTGATGATGAGAGCGGGCATAACGCAGGCACTTTTTCACATGTCCCATTAACAATAATCCACTTTACATAGTTAATGCAATTCAGGGGAGATGTAATTTCATGCAAAATCAATCACTGCCAACCTTTTCTTGGAAACAAAACCAAACAAGACGTACAAGACGGAGCAGGTTTGGGAGTTTTGTGCTCAGAAATTCTTACTGTTAAATCATGAGTGTTATCTTGTGCAATCAAAGAGGAAGTTACCTACAGAGAAAAGAATGAAAATAATTATTTGCCGCCCGCTTTGACTGGAGCACAATCGATCATAATGCATGAGAGGAAATGGGCCGAGCTGCATTAAAGCCTGGCATGGGCTATCTCCGAATCTGATAGTAGCTTTTGCAGCTATTAGCTAATAGCTGTGGCTACTCTGATAACGTTTGGACCAGAGGGTTAGGAGCGTTATTGAGAATCCAAGAGGCGCTTAAGGAGGGAAAGTAATGCTTGGACTGTGAAGCCAAAGATGTGATGCATGTTTAAGAGCATGATCAGGTGACATAGTTGGAAGGGAAATAAATCCAGACACATGGGAAAACCAGGTTCATCATTTAGCCAAAGCTAAAACAGTACCTCCTGCTGCACTCAGCTAGGCTAACAAGTTTCCAAAATGTCAGCCTTCCTTCTGTTTTTGACATGGTCCTAATGAGTTAAAACTTCCTAGAAGTAACTCCTTGGGTGTCATGATCTGATCTGAAGAAGTGGTATTTAGATGTAGCAGTGGAGGATGATACACTGTTGCAATTATATCAGATTAAAGGGGAGCGAGGAGGCGGTTTGGGAGGAACTATTGCGATGCATCCATCAGCATGGCGTGTGAGCGGATCCAAGAGGAGTTGGCGTGCTTGGCTTGTGACCTCTGCAACCAGCAGGCTCCCTCCCACTTCAAGTATGCAATCTCTCCACAAACTGAGGCCTGTTTTTCCACCACACATGGCTTCAATTCGAGGCTACTGCTGCTGTTGCTGTGTCTGCAGTGGCCAGGCGTAGCACAACAAATCTGATTATGAAATCAGTGACTGGCAAACCGATTGAGCTAGCTGTGTCACACGGTGGTGGACGTCTCTGTGTTGTCTAGATTCTTTTTTTTTCATGTGTGTGTGACTTTCATTTTTTACGTCTTGCTCCAGAGCCAACAAGGCAAGCTGTTTACTACTTTATTGGTCGTAAAAAGAAAATATGCACCAGTCGAGGCCTATCAAAGGCTCCTTCATTTGGCTGCTGACTAAAAAGTCGTTGGATGTGTGTTTAAATGCTTCATCTCAGAATAAAAAACATTCTGCGGTAGACACATGGCTGAACTTAAAGGAATAGTTGAGATGTTTTGAAGTGGGGGTTTTAGGAAAGAGTCAATATCTTACCTGTTGTAGATAGCTCTTAGAATTTTGTATTTCTAAGAAGTTAACCAATAGTTTAAGCGTCTAAGTCGAATGCTGCCAACTTAAAAATAACTCCAGTTATACTGATGCCTGCTCAATAATTCATATAATAAGAAGAATCTGTCCAGAGGACCTGACTTAATTTTAACTCCAATTAGATTTCATAGCAGTTCATGCTAATGCTAATTTTAAACTTTTACTCCAGCATTCATTTTCTATTATATGGTTATTCTGGTGGCAGCACGGTGGCGCAACTGGTAGAGCTGCTGCCTCTCAGCGAGCAGATCCCTGGTTCAAATCCCGGTCCGGGGGCCTTTCTGGGTGGAGTTTGCATGTTCTCTCTGTGCATGCGTGGGTTTTCTCCAGGTACTCCGGTTCCCTTCCACAGACCAAAAACATGCATGTTAGGCTGATTGGTAACTCTAAATTGTCCCTAGGTGTGAGTGAGAGACTGAATGGTTGTTTGTCTTGTTTGTCTCTATGTGAGCCTGCGATGGACTTGCGACCCGTCCAGGGTGTACCCCGCCCCTCGCACAGTGATTGCTGGACATGGGCACCGGCGACCCCCGTGACCCAAAATGGAAGAAGCGGGTAAAAGATAATGGATGGATGGTTATTCTGGTGGAAAAGTTGTGATTTTCCTGATAAAAGTGCATTAAGCTGCCTAAAGGTGCTACAGCTAGCTGCTGCTGCTACAGTTTACACTAGCAAATTGACACAAATGTCTATTTAAATATCTGTACCAACGATCCCTGCGACCCAGAAATGAAAAAGCAGGTAAAAAATGATGGATGGATGGAAAGGTGGGTGGGTGGATGGATGAATATATATAATCCCAAACTGACAACAATAAAATGGTGTAAAAGTATGGCACCCATCATTGGGCTTGGCCACACTCAAGCTAGCAGTTAACTCATCAAATCGGTCCGAATGCAACTCCTTTTTCTGATTTAAGTTAATTCAAAGAGCTACCTACAGCAGATTTTAATTGTTCATAACGTTTCTACAGAACCTCATCATAGAAGCTCTGTCTGGTCCAACACAATCAGCAACCGTTCCTAGTAGTAAACATCTGCTCATTGTCCTCAAGACAACGCCCCTATCTGCTTCTGCTTTAGTGAATAGTTAGTTCTGTTGCGAGGTGAATATTTTTTAAGGAACTTTATATAAAAAGATATGAAAATATAAATACAAGGTTAAAAGATTTTGAAATACCCTGATAATGATTTTGTTAATATTGTATTTGCAGACAAGCAGGTAGCATTTTGTGTAGTTCTTGGCTAAAAGGCTGCTAATGATTTTAATTAGGAGCTTTAATGAGAACTGTGACATGATTAAGAGCAATCTTTTTTTTTTTGAGAAACAGCTGTTTTACTTCACATGCTCCTAATATGATAAACAGTACATGATCTACAACTTCTCTCAGTGCATTAGCGTCGTAACAAGTCTCTTCTGGGAACAGCTCGCTCATTTGGCAGACGCAGATAAAGCCTTGGAACAGGTTCAACTATTTAAACAATTTGTCCAAAAAATGTTCAGCGTGTTTGACTTTAGGGTCAGTTTATCAAATCAAACTCCTTTTCCAGTCAGTGGGGAGATTATGGCAGTGTGAGATTACTGAAAAGCAGCAGCAAGAAGCTGTTAGGGTGTGTGTGTGTGAAATGTCTTTTTTATTTCTGTTCACTAGGATTACAGTTCTCAGAAACCTCATCCTCATCGGGATTACATGATCAGACGCAAAAAAAAAAAGGCTAAGACACATCAGCTACTTGTCTTAAGCAGATGCACTGTCTTCCTGAGTGTCATCATCTAAAGATCAAAGCTGAACCATGACATGTGAACGCCAAGCTTTGATCGGAGCTGCTGTCATGAGTTTGTTATGAGTCATCTGCCAAAGGGGAAAGACAAAAACAAGTAGAGGCACAAGAAAGCTCAACTAATAAACTTGTCAAAGTAAAGCTGAGCCCAACAGAGGTTAAGGAGAAAAAGAAATGTGTGAGGGAGTTTTTGACTCACCGTGCCCAGAAGTCCTGGTTAAACCTGAGTCACATCAGAGGGTTCAGATGAGGATATTCGCACAGTGGGAGAGGTATGTGGGAAGGATCCTGGTGACTGGTTTACTGGCTGCCTAACTAACCGTCTGGTTGACGAACTGAAAATCTCACTGAATCAATCCAGCCCCAAAAAGTCACTCGTCAGTGCAATCCTCAGAGCCAGGGTGTCTGTCATGTCTTGAGCTCTGTCCAGAGCCAGATCTCTGAGCTCCACACAGCAAGAAGCTGAGACAGAAGGAGGAGGAGGAAAAGGAGGAGGAGGGAGGGGTGACGCTGTGTCCCCCCTTGTTCCCACAGTCACGGCTCCAGGAGAGAGGAGAGGAGAGGAGGCTGCTGTGTTTCCCATAGAGGTCAGATGTGGAGTTAACACACATCCAGCTGGTTGGTGGCTGCAGCCTGCCTGCTACTAGTGCCCCCCCCCTAAACCTGATCTATCACTGAGGACACAGCAGCCACTCCGTTACAGTGAAGACACAGAGACTTTCTCGTTGTCCCACAAGACTCATATGAGAGTCTGAAGGCAGAGTTGTCAGTCCTCCTCCTCCCTGCCTCCCTCCTTGCCTCCCTCCCTGCCTCTCCTCTTACATTCCCCTCTTTGGTTCTTTTTACAGCCTCCGCTGAGACACTCTTATTGTGTGGCAATTGCATTAGCCTTTAGCGAGCAAGGAATGGCTCTTAGTGTCTAATGCAATGTTGTGTCTCTCAGTCTTTCTCCTAAGCTGTCTTTCCTCTGTCTCTCCCCTTGTCTCTGTCTATCACTTTGACATGTACACGTATGCATACACACCTCCTCTCCTTCCCTGTTTTTCATCTCTCTCTGTGAAATTCCTCCTTAAAGGGACACTCTGTTGTTTATTTGGTGCTTTCAGGGAATCGAAGGGCAGGATTCAATTTCTTGTGGCTGAGAGACTTCGATTGCGCTCCTCCGTTTGTCTTACGATCGTCTCAAACGTGCACCTGCTGTTACAGAACTAAATGGTGTAAAGCGGCCAATGCAGGAGAAGCAGAAACAATCCAGAAAAAGCCAAACGATTAAGAGAGAAAGCTCTACTTTTTACTTCAGCTGCAACTTTGCAAACGTAAAAGCATTTTAATCTCATCATGAGCTGCTTTAAAAAGGTCTCAAACCATTTCGACTTCCTGTTTACGTGGCATAAAAATAAAGCCTGAGTAAAAGTGCTGAGTCATCCTTTATTATCATGGAAGGTGTCTGTCAGCAACATTTCACGTAATCCACTGGATGGGTTTTATTAACGCTTGATGTCAACCTCTTTCAAGATGGCAGCAAATTGAGATAGCAAACACAAAAATGGCTACAACTTGGTTAGTTTTACAGACAGTGAGCTAAGATTTGACGTGGTAGTAGTTGAGAGTCATCCTTACTGAACAGTCAGATCACTAACAGCTCACACAAGATCTTTGTTACTCTTAAAGATTTTCAGATATTGTTCAGTTGCTGGGCAGCACGGTGGCGCAACTGGTAGAGCTGCTGCCTCTCAGTGAACAGGTCCCTGGTTCAAACCCCGGTCCAGGTGCCTTCTGGGTGGAGTTTGCACGTTCTCTCCGTGCATGCGTGGGTTTTCTCCGGGTACTCCAGTTTCCTCCCACAGACCAAAAACATGCATGTTAGGCTGATTGGTAACTCTAAATTGTCCCTAGGTGTGAGTGAGAGAGTGAATGGTTGTTTGTCTCGTTTGTCTCTATGTGTCCCTGTGATGGACTTGCGACCTGTCCAGGGTGTACCCCGCCCCTCGCACAGTGATTGCTGGACATGGGCACCAGCGACCCCCGTGACCCAAAATGGAATAAACGGGTAAAGATAATGGATGGATGGATGGATGTTCAGTTGCTGATCTCCGACAACCCTTTTGTCCAGAACTTCTCCACTTTTCTCATTATTTTTTTAAAACCACTTTGTAAGATTACAAGAGAGACTGGCTCCCTTAAAGCAAAATATAAAGAAATTACAGGTTTCCAACTTTCGCATAGTACCACATATGCATTCTGTAATACAGTGTTGCACAAAAAAACAAAGTCAAACTGAAAGCGAAGCCAGATTATTTGTTTGTTCACACAAACTTGGTTAAGGAAAGGTGATCCTGTGGGAGTTCCAGTTTTTCTCCTACAGCTCCTCAACACCAGATGGTGCCAACAAGCACACGCCTGTGGACCATTCTAATGAGCTGTAGGAGTACAGTAGTCCCTCAATACTTCGCGGTTTGTTCATCGTGGATTTGCTCTAAGATTGAACATGACACAAAATTGGCTGATTGATGGATGAGCCGCACGATCAGCGTGAATATTTTTTATTTAAAATAAATTATTTTAAATTATTTAGCACCTGCTGCACATTTGTGCAGCCCATACTGCTGCAGGATAAACTTCCTGCTGCAGTTGAACAGCTAATCCGATGTTCAGCATGCAGAGCAGAGAAGTGGGCGTGGCTAAGAGCGATTGCAGGTGGCAAAGAGCAGAAGAATCAGGGAGCTGAAATCATGACATGCTGTGTTCTTTTAGAGTGTTTAGAAACATTGTTTAGAATATTGCAAGAGTGTGGAAAGGGTTTAAAACGCCTTAGTATATATCTAAATAAATAGTAAAATAAACTACTTACTACATGTACTAGTATTCCTACTTCGCGGTTTTTCACTTTTCATGAGGCTTCAGGGTACGGATCCCCCACGATAAACGAGGGACTACTGCATAAATGGCAGTTGATGACTTCACTTTGACGCTGGTGCGTTATCTGCCTACTTTTAGTTGTGTTCCTAACCACTTTGCCATTCCTTGAGATTTGTAAAGCCTAAACCTTGTTCTCGTGTGTTTCAGTACTGACTCCTGTGTTCCTCCTGTGCCTTGGACCTCCCTGGTTTCATCGTTAAGTGATTCCTCCGGCCGTTCCTTGCATTCCACCGCTTGTCCACCGATCTATGCAATTTTTCTGGGACTTCCTTGTTTGTGACTGCTGGAACTATTGGACCCTCACCCATGTGATGACCTTTTCCTCCAACAGTAAGAGACAAACAATATCTTGAATCATTCTCAAGGATCCAAACTGTCATCATAACACTTGTCCTTACTCTCCAGGGTTCCAGACCCTCCCAGGTGAGTTGCAGACAACTGTTAATTTCACTTTTTGCAAGTAAACACTGTTAATTATTCGTTGGAGTTGTGCGTTTTGGTCACTTGATATCGAATGAATCCTTACAGATTCTGATTCTTCTGAAAAAGTACATAAAATTGGGTTTAAAGCAAAGCCAATGAACACCAAAAACAAAACTTCCAGCAGGTCGCTGATAGAAACAAAATGCAGTGCACTTTAGAAAATATCTCAAACATAACTTTTAAAAACACAGACATGAACTACAAATTGACACTTGGTCTTCAGGTCCGATTCTGCATGAACACTGATCATCTGGTCAGGAGTCACAGTTTGATCCAAACAAAAGTGAATCCAGAACATTTTTTTATATTTTATATGCATTCAAGACACAACAGTGACGTCTCACCAAGATAGAAACACTGCACCAGAGGCTTCAGCTGTAAATATGAAGCAATTACAGAGAAGTGGTGTGTGTGTGATATGTGTGTGTCTGAGCATATCACCGATTGTTAAACTCTTTGAAGATGGGTAATATCTTACACAAGCAGTTTTAAAGGTTGTTAGCAGCCACTGCAATGTTCATCAAACCTCATTTTTGTGTATTATTTATCAACTGTGAGTCCATTGTTTTTTATATATATATAAATATATATATAAATAATTTTTATTTTTTTTAGATTTTGACAGTTTGTGCAGTTTTAAAACACGACAAATGAAACAGTAGTGGCATTAGAGAGGCAGTAGAGTTATTTGATTTGTCAGCAATAATATTAGTAATAATCTATTTTGTCTGTGCCTCTCAGAATAGTACACCTGAAGGTACTGAGACCATGGGGTTGTAAAGGTTTACAGCCGGGAAAAGGAAGGTGAAGTTCTGGAAGAAGAGTAAAGTCAAAGAGTTTGGATATGTAGAAAAATAAAGAGAATAATCTTCTATTCAGTGTGATTTTGGACAAAGAGCCAATGGAAAAGCAGTGGAACATCTGAAAAAGAGCTTATTCACATATTTATAATTTGCCTATTTTATAGGGTTTTATTGCTGCTGCAACAGCTTTTTGCTCAGAAAAGTCTAAAGGGTGCAAAAATTAAAATACAGCAATAAATGAAATAAGGAAATGAAAGGTGCTAAGGATCAACTTTCCATGCCCTCCAACAGAATAAAAACAGCATGAAAAGGGAGTAATGACTATGTTCAGTACGCAGCCAGTTGTCCAAGTAAACATGATCAAGAGTTTACATCTGAATTAATTAAACTACATACAAATATCAAAAACTTGTTTATATATCTATCTTGCTTATTTTCCAACTGTATTTTTTTAAATGCTGTTGCAGGTTGTCCTTTGTAGAAATACACTCATGTAAAAGCTTGTGCTAGTTTAGTGCCGATGCACCTTTCTGCCACTGGCACAAAGAAAAATCATCATTTTTTAGTTTGATCCACAAAAATATTTGGTTCAGTTTGAAAGCAGTTTTTATTATAAATTAGCGAGCGGGTGAGAGCAGATTATTTAGCTCTGATAAACTGCAGACAGCTCATTCTGAAAACAGTCAAATGAAGGGAAACTGTCTTAAAGTCTTGACAAACCTTTTTACTTTTTAAGGCAAACTAAATTCCATTAATCTCCATTGTTTTGAAGTTGTGAGACAAAAAATAAAATGTAATTTTAAGTCTGGCTGCAAGAAGTTATAGCTCATTGGGAAAACTTGAGAAAATAAATCATCACTTATGAGAGGAAAAATGGCTGTGTGGGACAAAACCAAACATGTGGCATGGCATGACAGCATCCATCATGGTAACATAGTGTAGGTGATGCTATGTCAGAGCAAAGCCTGCCAAGTTCTCAGGGAAAGATGCTCATTACTCAAACCAAGGTGCTGATCTTCGACTCCGTTTCTCACATTTTCCTTCTGGGATTATTTGTTTATTTGAAGATGTCTGAAGCATTCAGATTTTCCAAAAGACGGAGCCGTGCAGGATGAAGAGCAGATGCTAGTGTCTGAGTGGGATTATACTCCTGTTTTCACTCAATTAAAGCAAACATTCACTAAAGTACTGAGCAGAGTTTGTTTTCAGCAGTAAGCAAATAGTTTCTCCTTGTTACACACGTTACAGTGTACGCATGTAGTCACATGTCTGAGCGATGGGGTCTCATTTACAGAAAGAAAATCCATCTTCAAAGTGACGCTCAATCATTCAGAGTTAGGTCACATGACTTTTGGAAATATTTCTGTTGTTGCAGAGACATTTCAGACAGTGAATGGAAGATGGCACTTTAAGGTCTCAGCTTAAATATATAGTGCAAGATCATGTCTGCAGCTAGAAAGCAGCTCCTCTAGCAACAGTACTGTTAAAAAAAATAAAGTAGTTAAACTTTTGTTATG